TCTTATTTTGGTCCTTGTGGTCATTCACAATACCTTATTAGGATTACTTTTTATTCCCTGCTTTGTCCTGTTCCAATCTGCTAAAGATGCTTGTATTGTGTTGCACTTCCTCAACCCAGGATTGATTATGTATTTCCTTAAAGAAACTCACCCATTTTCTTTCTCTGATTGAGTACTTGATCCCTAGGCTTCCGGAATGATTATAGGAACACCCTGCCCAGTTTTCTGGTCCCATCTCCTTTCCCCTATCCTGGACCATATGTTGTTCTCCCAGCTCTTAGTTGGGTTTATAGAGTCCAATCTTTATAGCTTCATATTTCTGGTTTGTATGTCACACTAAGACTCTTCTTCCTGAAGACTCTCCCCAAGTCTTACTCATTCTAGGGCCTTACATTTGTGATTTACTTCTTGACCTTTGAATAGATTGAGGACTATCTTTCTTATCTTGGAAAGTCTTGCTGTCCCTTTACAGTGCTTTGTCACCCTGTTGCTCATGAAGTATTGGTTAAGTTGATTAGAAAGTATCTGATGTGTGTTCTGAGCTTCTACACTTTTGAGATACTTCAAATTTCAAATTTTGGGGGACATATGTAGTAAGGGAGGAGCAATTGACTCGACTCATTAAAACACACTCCTTTCTTTATGTTCCTCTTTCATAAAAGGAAAAATATCCTTCCCCACATCCCCAGTATCCCATGAACCAGGGAGTGTAGCATATTTTCCCAGTACAAAGTTACACTTTATTTTCATGTTATATTGCCTGAAGTGGTCACAAGCTTTTTGCCCTGATCCTTCATGCTGCATATTTCTTTTGATAGGTAAACAAACAAAACATCTCTCAAAGTGAAATTCTGATAGGTAGAATAATTACCCATTTAATGAGCCGCAGTATTCCTCCTTTTCAGAATTCCCTCTCCCAGTATTGTCTCTCTTTTTTAAGGCATGCAACCATGGTGCTTCCTAAGTTAGCTTACTTTCCTGAATAATTCAGAAAAGTGTGACTTTTCCTTTTTATGTTTATCTCTTTGATAAGTATGGTTTCCCTTACACTTGGGCTTCATTTCTTCTCTAAGTACCCTTTCCTCACCACATGGTTGAACACCGACCAGTGCCAGCTGACCTCTGTCATTCTCAGTCGTCATGGCCTAACTTAAACAGCATAGTGCTTTTCCCCTTTCTCTTTTCTATTCCCCTAAAGGAAACTACTGAAATTTACATTTTGCCTGCCCTAGTGTTTTTGTTGTTGTTTGCATGTTTTTGCTTAAACTCTAATAAAATTGTCCTCTTTAAATGAGCTTTGGCTTTGCCTGACTTTTTGGAAAAACAAAGCAAACCACAACAAAACAAAATCCGGAGACCCTAAGAACTCTTTGTGTCAAAGGTATACTAAATCTAACATACTAACTCCTAAGAGGCAATGCCTTAAAAGAGCAAGATCTCCTTGTCTTTACTGAAAAGATTATTAACCTTTCATAAATTTGGGGTCATGAAGCCATGTCACTACTTTATGGGACTGAGCATATTTTCCTTCTACAGGAAAACTAAGGACTTAATGCGGAAAATGTAGATAGTTAGCAGGCTATTTCTTAGAACTCATAAAATGGGTGTAAAATTATCCTGTCTTCCTTGTTTTATTTTATTCCTGATGTAAGAAATTCTTATAATACTACTTTTGGCTCATTATGAATGATTCATAAGAAGGAGCTGTTTGACTAAAGGAAATAATATGTTTAAAAATGAGAAACTGATAGAGTGGGCTTAGGGATTCATGGAATGGTCTTTGAACTCAGAAATTCATGGAGTTGGATTTTTGATTAGTATCTTGTCATGTCTCTACAAAGACAAGTGACCAAGTATATAACACAGCCAAATTATTGTTGTCAGAGTATATTTTGGCTATTATGACAAAATATTTCACAAGAGTAATTTTGAGGTACCAAATTTTTGTTACAGTTTTGGATCTGGAAGGTCCAAAATCAGGCACTCGCAATTATGATGTCTAAGGAGGATGAATCCCCACAGGTGCTCCCTCTGTGTATCCTCACAATCAGAGGGGCAAGAGGCTCCCCGGGGTTCCTTGATAAAAGCATTAGACAGTCTTTATGGGTCCATATCTTTGTTATATATACCCCCTTCTCTCCAAAAACTGTATTTCAATACAAACACATTAAAAGTGAGATTTCAACAAAAGCATTATAGAAGGACACAAAAAGTCATGAGGCAACACCAATAAAATTGGGCTACCACTTCATGTGAAGGAATATACTTAACAGACATCTCATCAGCCAAATGGATTAATAACTTGTCATTTGAAGTTCATTCAATAACTTGGGTGAATCTGAAGCAAATCATGCTAAAAGAAAACATGTCAACCTCAAAAGGGTACTAGCAATATGAATTGGTTAAATAATATTTTTTGAAAATAATAAAGTTGAAGTTAAATATTTGATAGTGCATAGAAACTGGCAAGGAGGAGGGCATGGTCATGGTGGTGTGTATGAGAGCCTTGTTTTGGTTAAGGATGGTGGAGGGTTTGTGAAGATACATAGTGATACTGTTACATATGAAGCCAGGCTCACTTCCAGGAAAGGTGAATATGTCTGGTGGCTTGCACCTATGTCAGCTTTGTGATTTTAATAACAATTCTGAGGTTAGGCAAGATATGTCCATTGGGGATTGGGCTACATGAAAGTTAAAAATTCCTATGAATCTATAATTATTTCAAAATGAAATAATTTTACATAGATGGAATTTTTTATAAATATTTTTCTTGTAAAGATAGAAATTCCTTCATTATTCTAAACATTGGTTTGGAATTACGATTGGGTATAGGGCTAGTCTGTAGAGGGGGCATGTGTCTACTTAAGAAGCAGCAGCTGCTATTCAGCACCATGTAGACTCAGGTGTTTGAATGCTTGGCCCCATGGGAGTAGCAATATTAGAAGGTGTGGCCTTGTTGGAATTGGTGTGGCCTTGTTGAAGGAAGTGTGTCACTGTGGAGGTGGGCTTTCAGGTCTCCTATGCTCAAGCTTCACCCAGTGTGGAACACAGTCTTCTTTGGCTGCCTGCAGATCAAGATGTAGAACTCCCAGCTCTTTCTCCAGCACCATGTCTTCCTGCATGCTCCTCACCATGATGATAGTGGACTAAACCTCTGAAACTGTAAGTCATCCCTGATTAAATATTCTTCTTTAGAAGAGTTGCCTTGGTCATGGTATTGCTTCATAGCAATAAAACCTCAACTAAGACGACTGGTGTCTATGGTACCCAGGTCCTTGGTTTCAATGTGAGGCTTTGCACAGAAGTCTTTTACTGATCATGGAAAAGAGAAGATCAAGGGATAACAAGATCTTCATTAATTTTTTTCTTCTCCCAGATCTTTCCATCTCTGGCCTGATAAATGACCAGAATATTGACATTCCTCCCACTCCACCTGCTAACATGGTTTCTCCTCAGACAGAAGTGAAATGAGAGCATATAGCTAGGTGTGTTGTTCATCACAGCATGATAATCAGCTCTGGAGACATATCTCTCAATCCTACCCCACCCCACTCTCACACTGTCGAAGATCTGTGCAGCAACCGGACTTGTGTGTTTACTCTCTATCTCAAGCAGCATGAACACATCTGGTCACCTCATGAAGGGAGCACGTGACAGAATTCAAGGCTTTCAGCTTTTGAAATGTCATCTATGGGCTAATTATGTATCCTCAAGTCAAAATTTAAATTATTAAAAGACTCATTAGCATTAATTCTGTACTCTTTCCTCAAATGTGTTCTAATAAGAGTCCAGAGAATGCTTTATAATCCTTGTTTAAAAATATTATTTGTAGTTATTACCTAATTATGTATTAATAAATGGTCTTTTCTTGTTTGCCATTTTCCCACAATAATATACATGTTTTTAAAAGATCGGTTCTTGACCTTAAAAGTATGCTAATGTGATAAGAGCAATAACTCAACTGTAGCCTCTTAATTCCTGTAAGGGGAAATATGAAGAGACCCTTGGTGCTACATTTGTTTTCAGCTAATTATCATGTATTTGCTTTTCCATTAGTCCAATAATTTTTCTGTCAATTCAGAATTAAGCAATAAGACACTGAATTATATAAAGGCTTGCTTAGCATAACAGACACACCCCATCATGTCTAGTCCTCTGATTTACAGCTCTCAAAATGAACAAGCAAAGGCTCTGTGTGCCCTTTTGTATTTATATTCCATCACATATTCACCTCAATAACTTATGCACTCTTACGGAGGTCTACCTTGCAATTAACTCCAGTCTCTTCTAACCCATCATCTTATCATGTCAAAAGGATTTACATATAAACTTTATTAGCAACTTTAGTTCTAATTCTTTCTTATCTTTCTGCCCTCACTCTGCCTAGTGATGTCTGTCAGTGATGGGGGTCGGGCAATGGACTTTTGAAAATGCCAGTTTAAAAACATTCACATTGGACTGGTAGCACATTTAGTAATTGGTCTTTGCACTGTGTGGCAGTACAATAAATAGAGATTGTCATATTTCAGGTGAGGCTGTGATGTGAGTCTTCATAGAAATGGAATGAACTCTCCTTACTGCACAACACAGCGTTTTAGCTGTGTTTAAGAGGAACAGGCAAGTAGGAATGCTATTGTTATTTTAAAAAATAGAAAGAGAAGAAACTCATGAAAGCAAATGGTCAAAGCCTATAAACTATTCCCATATCCCTAATTACAAAGTAGAGGAATGCCTAGTCTCTTTCTAGGACTCTAGAGGATGAGGAGGGAGAGGAGGAAGAGGAGGAGGAGGAGGAGGAAGAGAAGGAAGTGGAGGAGGAGGAGAAGAAGAGGAGGAAGAGAAAGAGGAGGAAGAAGTAGAGTTCAATCAACACAAGAGGAACAGCAGCTCAGGGTTAAAACCTGGCTTACTGTATGTGTTCTAGCCGGAGAAGGCTCTAGAACCTTCTCCTAGATGCAGTGTGCCAATGTGGGAGAAATCTGGCTGGGGAACTGACTTACCAACATCAGGGTCCACAGCTTGTACTCTGGTCAGCAGAGCCTTAGTGGCTGTGTTCTCATAGACACATGCAGTGTAGTGGTTGGAAGAAAACACAGGGGGATTATCATTCACATCTTCCAGGAGCAGGAGGACACTGGAGCTACAGAAGCGGCCGCCTCCATCAGTGGCCCTGGCAATCAGGTTGTATACTGGGATCCTCTCCCGGTCCAACAAGGCCAAGGTTTTTAACTCACCTGTGAAACAAAATAGCCACATAGTTGGACTGCCTTTTCAAAAAATGCTCTTTTCATGGAAAAGCAGAAAATCAATTGTATGAAAAATTCCAAATACAAGAAATAGCAAGGACATGAGGCCTAAGTGCCCTACAAATTGAAGAAATACGGCAAATTTAATGTTGTAGGAATCATGGAAAATATCACAGAATTTTAGATGCAATGGCAAAACAACTGCTTGACCTTTACATTAATTAACTCCTTTGCAGAATTTCTTGAGGTTCTTTTCTTTGGCAAATGAATGGTACATGGTTGTCCCTGGTGTTCATGGCCCATAGTCTCAGGAGCACAATATCTTGCTTCTAAACATGCTATTTTTTACCTCATTTATAGAGGGAAATAAAATCATCAAAAATGGCTGGCTTTAATATAAAAGTCCTGAGGGGCCTTGTGATGATTAACATTGGTTGTCAATTTGACATGTCCTACCTAGAATCCCATAGGAGTCAAGGTTCCTGAAACCTTTAAGAGGGATTATCTACATTAGAGATTGCTGAGAGACTGTCTTGAATAGGTTGGCTGAGGAGTAAAAACCCGTCTTAAATATGGGGGGCTCTATTCCCCATGCTGGAATCTTTGGACTCTGTAAATGGAAAAAGTAAGCTGAATGTTGGCATTTATTTCTCTGTCACCTGACTGTGAAAGCAATGTAGCCAACCAGCTACGTCAAGCCTCTACCACATGGACTATCTCATCGTGATAGACTAGACACTAGAGCTAGGAGCCAGAATAAAGCCCTCCTTTTTTGCATTGCTTTTGTCAGGATATTTTTCACAGGACCTAGAAAAGTAACTAATGTAGGATTTAGCACCACAAAGATCAACCTTAGTATACAAAACAATGGGTTTTGCTATCAAATTGTCTTATTTACTGAGCCACATTGCCCTCTCTCCTTCCTCCTTCTCTCTTTCTCTTCTCAGTCTCTGTATCTACTGTCACATCATAAAGATGGATAAAGACAGAGTTGGATCTAATTTTGCATGTGAGATAAAATATGCAATATTGTCTTTTCCTCTATACTATCCTCTCTTGAACACCTCCCTGCATCTTTGTCTTTTTCCTCCAACCTTTTAATAGTCTCCCTTTGACTTTCATGTCACATAATTATGAATATATGTGCATATTCATGATCCATGGAGATCTGTGTTGTTGTTGCTTAGGTGTCAATAGAAAGGACAAGCATAGTGAGAAGACTGAGCAATTGCTATGTGGTGTATGGTATGCCTTTCGGATCATTTCTCCTCTTAAATAAAGTCAGTTCCTCCTATGGCTTGCTGAATATAGCCAGTCCTCCAACACAGGACACATGGAGTCATTTTCCCCGCTTATTTAAAAAGTCCCCATTGGCCTTTCAGGAGGACATTCAAGACCCTCTATTGTCTGTTTGGAGATGCTGCCTCCTTTCACGCTTTTCGGGATGCTCTCCTCCCTGTAACCTTCAGTGTTCTGCTTCAACTCTTAGACTCTTGCTTCTGTTTCCTATCTCCTTTCCTCAGCTACATCTGTGATATTCCAGTATGACTTCCTTTGCACTTCTGGGCAGTCCTTTCAATGTTCCTTTCTTTATTATAGTTACAGGTTGTCTATCTTCCAATAGGGTCAAGAGAGCTAAGGAGCATGTTTCCATGTAATTATATCCATTCTTCCTACTAGGATCCATGAGTAAGCCACTGATTTTTGAAGACTCAGTTCACTAGGATGAACAAAGAATGTGAAATATGCAAGCTATTCACTCTTTACACTTCATTTAAAAATTGCCACTAGATGAACCACCTAATCCACAACACGGAAATAATTTGCTGCCATAAAAAATGACTTTTCCAGCAGCTCTGGCCTGCAGTTCAGACATCTGACTTCGGTTTACAATAACTCTTTACTATATAAGTTTTGTCTGATTATGCAAGGAAATTTGGGGGCCCATAGCCCCTTAAGTAGGGAAGGAATGTTTAATGAAATCCAGAGAACAGTGCTGTAACAATCAGAAGGGAATCAAAGGTATTTCACTATGAAGAAACTCTTCTTGCTAAGCATCGTGTTTTAGTTTGCATGGTGACCAGCATTTGTGATGCAGCTCCTTTCCACTCTTTGGGAGCCTGGCCTTAAATCACAGAGACTTGTGGTCATTTCATGCTAGTAAAGATGGGGAAATAGATGGAAGAAAGGAAGAAAAAGAGAAAGGAGAAGAAAAAGAACATCCCAACCCCAACCCAAATCAAGGTCCTGTGGCCTGGAGTGCTCACATCTGTACACTGTGAAGTGGTTATTTCTTAGCATCTAGCACATCAGAACCTCATGCCCAGACTCTAGCTAAGTAACTGTCTATTCATGATGAGACCACACGGGAAGATAAACTCTTACATGGATAAATAATGGCATTTCCACAAAGAATAAATTTCACCTTACCACTTTCTGGATCTAGAAAAAATTCATTGTTTCCAGATCCATAGAGTGAGTATCGTATATCTCCATTGGATCCAATATCCGCATCCTTGGCACTGACCTTCAGGATGATTTTATTTGATGGAATGTCTTCGGGAAGTGATGCTGAATATGTAACCTGGGCAGAAGTCAGTGAGAATAAGTCAATCATTACTACCGGTGGTACTTTATAGGTACTATTAAAGCAGGTTTCTTTAAGATTCATTCCTGTGGTTTAGCTTTTGCATCTTTTCCTCCTTGCCTCAGACTGTATTGCAGTGTGTAATAAAATTCAGTAGATTTGTTACCTTACCTCTTCTGTGCACACTCAGCTAAAAGTTCTTATTGAGCGCTTATTGTATGTAACATGCATCGATGATGTGACTGGTAAGTAGACAGTGGTGTAGAAAGCCGATAACATTGCTGCATTGTCAGACTCAATTCTCATCCCACATTGACTGAGTCCATTTCTGTGTTGAGACCAAATGGGCCCCTGGGATTGTTTTCACTTCTTTAAAGAGTCATGGGTAATATCTGGCTTTAGCATAAGAGATTAAACCTACATACATCACTTTTCTAAGCTACTGAACACAAATATTGCCCCCTGGTCCACAGGTTAAAAATTACAGATTAATAATTATTTAATTTTTGCAAGAAAAAAATATTATCTAGTCCTTGTGTCAGTATTGTGTGTTTCTACAGTAATGGAAAGGCTCTTTTGATGGGGATCTGGAGACCCTGATTAGCAACAGTTCTGTCACTGACCGCTGTATAATCTACAAATGGGCAACTCACAGTGTAGGGTTCACCTTTCTTATCCAGTGATTTACAAAGATGGTGTGAGATCCTTTAGGAACGTAAAGGCTAACTTTAAGGTTCACCGATTCTGTTTAATTGAAAGAGTGGCATAGGGATTGGACACATGGTCTTGCTGGCTATCTAGCTTCCTTTCACATTTGGGACATTTCATCCCAGACTTTACTTTCTTCTCTCTTATATTCAGTTGAAGACAAGAGCAGATATTAGCCTGGATTTAAAAAAAATGTGCAATGGGTTTGAACTTAATTTTAGAGGGGTGAGTCAAGTTCTTAAAAAGCAGTCTCATCCCCAAAGCTTACCTGATCACACACTGGGCTGTTGTCATTTACGTCAGTGACAGTCACTTCTACCATGGCCTGGGTGACAAAGAGTCCATCAGAGGCAGTGATATTGAGGAAGTAAATGTCTTGTTCCTCTCGATCCAGAGGCCTCTTCACATAGACCTTCCACTCACTCTGCACCATGCCCAGGGCAAACCGTCCTCGGGGGTTCCCTCCTGTGGTGGAAACACAGCTTCTGAGGACTCACAGTGGGGCACCCACGAGAGAGTCCATATGGCGATATTCAAGTGCCCCTCACACAGTGTCCTTATGATGCTGAAAAGGGTGGAGTCTCCCTTAATTCCTCCTATAAATGCACGATATTTATATGCTCATCTCGTGTGGAAAGTAAACGAATAACTTCCCAAGAGAATAAAATCCACAGAGAGAAGCTTGGATGATCTTTTGTTTAGTTTCCCTTAAAGATAATCAGATTCAAACTGTGAACCATCAATTGATTCCTGGGATGATGCAATTGTCTTTCCACTCAGCCTCAAGAGAGGCTGTAATACACTGTAGTCCTTGTCACCAAGACAATTTCATTAGCTGCTGAGTTGATTATACAATCAAGACAAGGCAGCTAGTTCTGTTAAGGAATCTTTTAATGAACATTTTATCATACTGCTGGGAACTTTCTCATGATGACTGGAGTTTTGGGGAGAAAAGTTTGCACCACAGAAGATAAACCAATGGTATTAAATCACCTTAAAAAGGGGTCATTTAAGAAGCAGCTCAAAGAAACACATTGCAATTAAGTCAAACTGGAGAGAGTTGTGGAAAGAAGATGAGAAGGACCAGAATGGCCCAAAAGATTTCTCTTTTATTTCACGAATTTGGTGAACACTAAAGCAGCTTGACACAAGGTAGGAAGAAGGAAGGAAACTTGACGTTTCATCTCTAAGGGGGAAATCATATCAGTTTTGATGCCTAGAAAGTGTTGCCCAAAGACAACAGTAGTCTTAGCAGTAGCAGGCAGATGCAAGAGGGAGGTGGCTCTATATCTGGCACTCAGGATTACTTCGCCTCTGCTTGAGCCCATTTTTCTAGACAGCAGGGCCTCAGAAGCATCGAGGATCACAAAATCTCCCTGCTTCGCCATTAAAGCTCAAGTTATAAAGGGGAAGATTGACAATAGATGACACAACCATGTACGAGGCCATGACACTGAGACGGTTGGCTTGGGTTTTTCTAGGCAGATTTCAAACCTCCATCTTACGTAAATGCTAGAAGACAAATGACCAAAAACAAAAATCCAAAAACTAACCTCTTCTGGGGGGACCTGAAGCTTATTATTACACATTAGCCAATAAAATATACCTTTTGTGAGCATACTGGAATCCTGTCCCTCCTGCTGCTTCAGTGAGGCTCTGAACAGTCTACAGCTGTACAGTTCATGGATTCCCCTTTCCTCAAATAAACCGTTTACCATGTTAATGTGATTTCTGGTATGGTGGTAAACTCCTGTAATGTCAATACTTTGAGACTGGGACAGGAAGGTCATGAGTTCAAAGCCAGACTGGGCCACATAATGAGTGCAGAACAAAACAAATGAATGCACCCAAAATTATCTTCGAACACAGTAAACAAAAACATAAGGAAAATATATGTTGAAAAGTCTTATTTCTCTGTAAGAATGGAGCTGGCTCACTTTATAACCAATCTTTTTGAAAAAGCAAGCATATAGTCCTAGAATTCTGAGTATTACTCTGGTCCCTTTTATAACTCTTCACTGTGAAGAAACCACAAATGGACCCAAGTCATATATAGATGACACATTGCTCCTCCAGGACAATGATGTTCCCCTTTTCAGAGGGTTTTTTTTTTTTAGTGTATGTAGACATTTTGATTGTCACAGGATGATAGTGGGTCTATATGCTACTGGAATTGAGTGGTTGGGTCAAGCATCGCTGTGAAATAACCTACAATATATAAAGATCAGCCTACCTACCATAAGAGATTTACCTGTCCACAAGTGGTGGTGGCAGTGACTGAGAAATCTTGCCTTGAGAGGATCAGGGTCCTCCCTGTAATATCACTTTCTGCCAACTCTGGCTAGAATTCAATTGTGCTTTAGTTGAATATTATTTCAGCACACACAAATTTAACCTCTCTATTAAATGCCTTCAGTGCAGGCGAGCCCACACCATTCCTTTGTTACATAAAATGATTAATGTTCCTTTGTTAGTCTGAGGCAGCACAGCCAACTTGTGCTACATCAAGAGCAAAGCTTAAATCTAATTAAAATCAGTTGGTGGTTGACTCTGCTAATAGTAAGAGGAGTTTAAGCTACACTGCACTCATTACTTTAGTGAAGCTGATGGGATAGTCCTTATATCATCTACAGATACTTCAGAGACTATATAAAAATAATTAAAGCTGAGTGTTTAATAATTCTTTCAAGTACAAAGGGGTCCCTCAGAATGTCTTCCCCCCAAAAAACTATATATAAATAAGTTAAATTCTTTCTTTATTCTTTCTTTTTGTCTCTCCTTACACAGATGCTCTATGTTTTAACTGTAACAATACACATTTTTATGGAATAAGATGACAGGTTTCAGAGAAAGCACAAGATATATAAAGTAAGAAATGTCATCAAGGGGGTAGCACTTTGAAAGACACAAAGAAGAATCTTGGGGAAATGTGGCAATCTTAAGCTTTTGGTGTTTGCTACAATACAGATCTTATTCTGCAGTGATTAATTAACTTTCCACTAACATACTTAAGCAGAATCTGTGTCCTAAGGGCATCCTAATTAATTCATTTTTCACTCTGAATAATGTGGTTTTTCTAAGGGGAAAGCCACCGGACTACAAGTATTGATGGATTATTTAAAATCTTTTGGCACGTGGCTTATGCTCTGGCTCTGAAAGTCTCAGAATCAAGGTGTTATCTCCCAAGCTCCAAGTGGGTTTTAGGAGAGACTTTTCTAGACTGCCAACCCTTCCTTCTTCATCACTGAAAGTGGGTCATCCCAGAAAGCTGTTCCTGAGCAGGGGAAGACTTTTCACTCTCATGTTAATCTCTCAGTCTCACAGAGCCGTGGTGACATTTTTGTACATACTTAGTGACCTTATTTGTCTATCTCAGTTTTTTTCCGGTGAACAGCCACTTATGACTGGGGGAGACAGACAGAGGTTGCAAGGAAACAGGGCTGTCAGAAGACATATCCTTCGACTTTCAGTTATAAATTTAGAATTCTCAGCAAAAGGTCAAACTGAGATTTCTAATTTGCATGTGTGTGTGACAACTCATTCTTATAACCAGAAGAAAGCTGCACATAAAGCTTAATGAGGGACATTCTATTGTTCTTTGGCATTATTAAAAGCTCATGAGGGGATTATAGTTGAAAAACAACTATTTCCACTAAAAAGAGCTGTTATTTTAATTTCTTCAATTACAATAGTTTACTCAGTGTTTGCTTTAAAACTTCAGGAGGTGATATTAACGTTGGCACCAGCTAGTGTAAAAGTGTTGTAGAATATATAGCCAAGTGAAGAGCCAACAACTAAACTACTCCCCATGCAATCAGACTTCTTCCTTGGAACCAGAGTCCCACCACCCTCGTCCTCATCTCAGCCTCCTGTCATTGTCATCGCCACCTTTCTTTAGAAAGTAGAGCATATGGGAAACCTGGGTGGCGGATGGAACTTACCTGTAATGTGGTAGCTCACTTGGCGATTTATGTTGGAGGTGTCTTTGTCCAAGGTGCTGAGAACGGCTACTACCTCCCCTGGTGGGTCGCTCTCCTTGACATTTCCTCGGTACACCTCATGAGCAAAGACTGGTGCATTGTCATTTATATCTGTCACCTTGACTGAGACCAGAGCCATGGAAGAAAGAGAGAAAGCCTCTCCGAGGTCGGAAGCCACCACAAAGAAGGAAAAGGCAGGGTCTGTCTCATGGTCCAGGTCCTTCAGTGTACTGATCCATCCCGTGTTGCTGTCAATATTGAATGCTTCCATTACCTTTTCAAGATGGGAGTCTGAGTGTAGGGAGTAAGTGACCTGCCCATTGGCTCCCCAATCCATGTCTATGGCTCTCACCTGGGCAAGCTTGGTGCCAACAGGCATCCCTTCCATTATGATTGTCTCGTAGCTTGATGTTTCAAAGACTGGCTTGTTGTCATTCAGATCCAATACCTTGACATCTACATCCACAGTGAATACAATGTCCACCTTGTCCAAGGGTATAGTAGCTGCTACTTTAAAGTGGAATGCTGGGCTGACTTCATGGTCAAGACGCTTGTCGAGTTTGATAGCACCTGTCTCTTGTTCTATGATGAAGACGCCCTCTTTGTTATTCTCTGGCCGTTCTCCATTAACAGTGCTGAACCGGACACTTTGATTAGGCAGAATTCTCAAGGTGTCTACTGTGCTTCCAATGGATGTATCTTCTGCAATGGTAAAGGAGTACTGTGACTGGGTGAACGAAGGCAGAAATGTTTCAGGGGGCAAGACATGGATGTAGACAGGAATGAGGGAGTGTCTGACTGGAATCCCACCATCCACTGCCTTCACGAAGAAGGACAGCACAGTGTTTCTTAGTTGGTTAAAATTGCCTTTGGTCACCATCCAGCCATTATCAGGATCAATTTCCAAGAGGTCAGCCACTGACACTGAGGCCTCACTATAGAGGGAATATGTAATCCTAGAATTTGCTCCATCATCTGGATCCAAAGCTTGAACTTGAGTGACCAAGTGGCCCCTTCCTACGTCAGCCCTGACACTGGCTCTATATTCCACTGTCAAGAACTGAGGGGTGTTGTCATTCTCATCCACGACAATCACCCGAACAGTGCAGAACGTAGTTCTCCCACCACCATCCAGGGCCCTCAGATAAATACTGATATCTCCTTCCAGAGGGTTTTCACGGTCTAGTCTTTCTGTTGTGATGATCTGTCCATTGTTGTCTATGAGGAACCGATCCTTGGCAAAGTCGTTGATGATGGAATAGCTGACTTGTCCATATGTTCCTGGGTCCCCATCTGTGGCTCGGACATGAATGACCTTTGTCCCAGAAGCTGCATTCTCTCTTACTTCAGCTACATATGTGCTTTGTGAAAAGGCAGGGCTATACAAATTAGCCCCAAGGACCCTGATGTGAACCTGGGCAGTGCTGGTAAATAGTCCATCAGACACAGACACATTGAGACTGTACAGAGGCTCCATACGCTGTTTCCGGTGGCTAGACAGTGTGAGAACTCCACTCTTGCTGTCCATCAGAAAGCTGGTTCGATCATTCCCAGATAAAATGCTGTATTCCAACCGATCAAAGTCAGAGCTGTCTGCATCTGAGGCTTGCACACAGGTTACAAAATGACCCCTGGGGGCTAATTCACTCACATAAGATTCATAAATGAGCTGATTAAAAACCGGGGGGTTGTCATTGACATCAGAAATGTAGATCTGAACCAGAACTTCACTGCTCAGAGATGGAAAACCACTATCAGTTGCTATGACTTTCAAGGTACAATGTTGTACCAACTCATGGTCTAGCATCCTCGCTGTCAGGATTAAGCCACTTGAGCTATCTATGTGAAAGTAATCTGTGCTATTGTAAGTATCCTGGACAATCTGATAATGAACCAGTTTGTTGTTTCCCGAGTCTGCGTCAGTTGAGACAAGTTGCAGAACAGGTGTTCCAATAAGAGAGGATTCAGATAGTGTTGTGTTGTAAGTGGGCTGATCAAAAACAGGAGGGTTATCATTGACGTCATCCACTAGCAGGTCCACAGTGACTTCAGCCCTGGCACCCGTAAGAGCATCACTAGCTCTCACTGTCAACTTGTAAACTGACGTGAGTTCATAATCCAAAGGACTAATAACTTTTAGGACCCCAGTGTCAAAGTCAATGTTAAACTGTTGGAAGGGATCTCCATCGATGATGAGGTATATGATGCCCTGGCCTTCTGGGCTGGTGGCATTGATGCTGAGAATGGGAGTGTTCATTGTGATATCTTCATTGATCGATGCTGTATAAAAGGGTTTATCAAACACAGGCATTGCTTTGTTAACAATGGTGATGGGAAGTTCCACAAATGTGGACAGAGATGGATTGCCACCATCCTTGGCGAGGATAGTGACTCCATAGTCAATGTTGGAGAGATCTGAGTTGAATGCTTCTTTTAAAATCACATTCCCTGAATTAGGGTTAATTTCAAAGTGACCATAGTCATCCTGCAAGATGTAGGTCACTTCTCCATTGGCACCTTTATCTTTGTCGATGGCTGTTACCCGGTATATCAGAGTCCCTGGCTCAGCATCAACTTGCACAGCAGCATAGTAAGGGAGGCCCACAAAGACAGGAGAGTTATCATTTACATCTTCAATGTTAACCCTGACTACCACCCTTGCCACACGCAAGTGGTCTAGCTCACGACTGGCTTCCACCACCAACTCATATAACTCCTGTTCTTCGCGGTCAAAGGGTACTCCTGTGGTCTGAATGACTCCTGAGGTAGATTTTATCTTGAATTTATTTCCTGGGTTTAAAATGCTGTATTTTAAGGGCTCGTTAAGGCGGTTTCCAACTGCATTGACAATAGCAACTTTGGTTATGTTTGTGCTGTTTTCTGAGATGGAGGTGGAATAAAAGCTTTGTGTAAAGTGGAGGCCACTGTCCATGGCTTCCTTAACCATGATGGTGGCCATGGCAGTACTGTAGAACTTCCCGTCAGAGACTCTGACTATAAGCATGTAGTGATCTTTAGAGAGATTATTATTTTTTATGGTGAGCACTCCAGTATTTGGGTCCATTAGAAAATGATCTGCACTCCCATCCATGAGGCTATATGTCAGTTCAGGGGGTACCTCAGAGTCAGGGTCAGTGGCGCTCACCTTCAGAACCTCCACGCCAACATACGTGGGGAGAAGTAAGACAGTTTCAAATACAGCCTGAGTGAACACGGGTGGATTATCATTCACATCTGTCACCTCAATGTTGACTTCAACCGGACTCTCCGCAGTTAGCTGGGGGTTCCCACTGTCTCTCACATGTACATGAAAGTGGAAGTGTGCAATGACTTCATGGTCCAGGTTGGCGATTGTTCTGATGGCTCCTGTGCTGGAGTCCACTGTGAAGAACTTCTTGGCTGTGGACTCCACAATCTGATACACCAGGAGTGCATTTTGGTTGCTGTCAGCATCTGTAGCTCGGATCACCAGTGGGCTGTTGTCTAGGCTCCTGACAATGCTATTGATGGGGGCAGCCTCACTCAGGCTGCCTGAGTATTGAGAGAAGAGAAACACTGGGGGGTTATCATTTTCATCCACAATCTGCACACTAACGGTGGCATTGGAAGCCATGCCTGCCATGTTAGTGGCTTGAATGATGAGTTGATAGGAAGAGGTATGTTCATAATCCAGAGCTCTCCTAGTGGTGATGACTCCAGAATATGGATTTATGGTAAAGACTCCATTAATGTTTCCATCTTTGACTTCGTAAATGAGGGTCGACTGGCTGATGGCTGAGATCAGGATGACAGACGTTCCAATATCCACATTTTCATTTACTTCAGCTTGGTAGTCTTTGTGAGTGAACTTGGGGTGGGAGTTATCTGACATGCTGATGGAGATGCGTACAATTGCAGTGGCAGACATTGGTGGCGAGCCTTGATCTGTGACTTTAACTGACAGGACAAACTGACCCATGGCTGTCATGTCTGGCTCTTTGGAAATGGTGATGATGCCCAGGACTGGTTCAATCTTAAATGTGTTCCCCGTGTTCCCTAAAGCACAGAGATCAAAGGGGAAATGAGTTACAAGAGGGTCATTAAAATACTCCCACGGAGATTAAATCTTCTTTTCAAGGTGCTTGTCTACACTGTGGCCAGCAGTATGAAACAGTTTATATTTCATCCTAATTATTCTGATATTTTAAAAAAGCAGAACATTTTTCTGTGGTAAAAACTATATCAAATCAGTAGCTTCTCAATCCAGGATAAAATCAGCAGCAGCAACAATATAGCACTATGTACACATTTGAATCGGGAAATAAGAGCACGTACAGGAGAGTCCCTCTGCTGGGACTATTTGGGGCTTCCTCATTCCTAGACCCATGAGAAGAGCGACAGCTGGGATCGGCATGTACCACCACTAATACATCTGTCTATGTGAATGCATGTATGTTATAACTGTAAATATAAAATCAATATATATATATATAAATATATATATATACACATACATACATACATACATACACATAAACACACATATGTATGTATGCATGCATGCATCTATCTATCTATCTATCTATCTATCTATCTATCTATCTATCTATCATCTATCAATCAATCTATCTATCCATCCATCCCCATAACAGTACTGTATTAAGCTCAGTCTTCATCTTTAAAAAGAGCACAGTGGTAATAGTTTCGGAACCTCTTCACAGTCACTTTGTTTTAGGCTGTCCCATCGGTAGGCTTTGCATGTGGAATCCATGCTACTTTATCACATTAAAACTGACTTTCTGCAAATAGTATCTTTGCTTAGATGGGGAATTCTAAGTTATTGTCTGCTTTGCAAATTGTAAGGATTTCTTCAGGCTGCCCCTTCCTCTATTCTTTCCTTTTGTTCTACACCTTTCCTACACTGTAAGAACACACACAGGCACAGAGGCAGATGTAGAAACAGACATAGAAATGTGAGGGTGTTACTCCAGTCTGTAGTCATTGTGTTCACTCATTAGAGAGGTTTTGGGTGAAGTCGACAGTGACGATCATCCGAGCTGTCTTTGAAACTAGGAAGAAGGCACAGCTCCTATAAAATGGAGGCACAGATGTGGCAGAGACCAGCCTGGGAAATACAAGGGATTATAGGAGAAACATTTTGGCTAAGCAAGTGTGGGACCAGCATCCATAACACCTGAGAGATGGTACTCTCCATGTGATGCAATGGTACACAGCTTTGACCAAAGGTTGCTAATAGGTGTCTACATTCATGAATGCTGATGTCCTATTTCACAGTCTCTAGGCTAGTCCTGCCTCACATGTGGTCAATAGAGTTTCACAGAAGGAATGAACCTAAGGCATATTCTGACTCCAGCTGACTGCTGTAGCCCATCACTGTGGGAGTCATATGCTATCCCATTCTAAGGTACTGTGCTCCCATGTTAGGTCCAAGCTGGGCCTTCCTGCTCATTCTATCTTTAACATACGGATCCTTTCCTTGAAATTGGCTACCTGCTTATTCTCTCCTTCAGCTCATATATGTTTGAAAATTAAAGTCTGGTTGTTTTCTTAGAATATGTGGCTCCTGTAGTCTTTTGCCAATATGGCTGAAGCTGTGTTCCTATTGCTTATCTGGTATGCAGCACAGCCCTGCCACAATGATAAGGCTCAATAATTACTGTAGAATGACCAATAGCAGAGGTATGTTTGAAAACGATGTTACTGGATCTCAGGATCCAGTATATTCCCAACCTTTGCTGTCTTCTATTTTGCTGCTTTAGAAGCAAAGCTAACAGCAAATACCAAACTTCAATTATCCAAGATTCAAAGCTTTGCCTTCCTGTTTTGTGTCTGTCCGAAGTAAAAACTTCAGTAGTGACTTTAGAGGCCAAGTAAAAGATAGGAAGTTTATAGTCCACCACTAAACAGGATAAAATCTGGCTTATCTGAGGTTTGTGAGACAAGTTCAATAAAACCTAGCATTTTATACAACCACCCATCTCTTACTTGTTTCTATCATCTGGAAAAGAGCTTGCTGAGCTGCTCTGTGACAGGTCTGCAGGCATAGGGTCCAGTTATGTATGTGTGAGAGACAGGCAGCTCCAAGATTGGGCGCTCTCTCTCTCTCTCTCTCTCTCTCTCTCTCTCTCTCTCTCTCTCTCTCTCTCTCTCTCTCTGTGTGTGTGTGTGTGTGTGTGTAGGGGTGAAGGCCCTGCAGGCCTGGGGTCCAGCTATGTACATGTGAGAGACAGGTAGGCTCCAAGTTGTGCTGTGTGTGTGAGGGACAGGCAAGCCAGAGACTGGTGTGTGTGTGTGTGTGTGTGTGTGTGTGTGTGTGAGAGAGAGAGAGAGAGAGAGAGAGAGAGAGAGAGAGAGAGAGAGAGAGAGAGTGTCCAGGTTGGTCTCTGTGCTGTGTGTGTTTTTTTGAGTGGAGGGGGTTCTGCATGCCTAGGATTTGGCTATGTGTTCGTGAAGGATAGGCAGACCCAGAATCAATCTGTGGGCATGATGACCCTCTAAACCAGGGATTGGGCTATGTGTTTAGAAGAAGTTAACTTGACTGTGACAGGTTTGTCATACACTCTATAATTCTCATTAGACTCTCATGCATATAATCAAAGGCTAGTTTTTCATATATCCATCATTCCTGGATTTTTTTCTGGAAATTCAGATTTTCAATGTAAAAAAGAATTTTTTAAAGAAATAGCTTCTATCTTGCATACTAATCAGTTGTCAAAGAAATGACTGCACTCCTTGCTTCAGTCATGGAGGTAAAAATGTGAGTGATGCAGTGTTTGGGGGGGGGAAGCAACTAATTTGTCTTTGTGAACCTAAATATTGATTTGAAAGTTATCTGAAGCCTAACAGAGATACAAGTAGTAATTTTATAAATATAATCAACTGCTTGCCATACAGATAAATGCCCATAAAGTGATAAGAATGATGGAAATAAATCCTTACATCCAAATGTCTATAGTGTCCCGAGATAATGTACATGGGGGAATGCAGGGAAGGGAAAAGATAAGATTAAGTGATACATTGGGAAGAGTAGCTGAGGATGGACAGATTGAGTAATGGCTTCTGTGATAGTTAATATTCATTTCTTAGATTCATTATTTGTAAATTAGCAGAACAAGAATCACTTAATGCAGTGATAACAATGTTATGGACAAAGGGTATAAAACAGAGTTTCTAAATAAGTTTAGATCTTTAGAAAGCCAATAGTAATACATGGGAAAACTCTTCAGGCACATGGCCATTAGTGACCAACATCTTTCCCTTTTACTTTTCTTCTATGTGGATGTTAACATTGACCCATTTCAAATATGGGCACCTAATCTACAAAGTTGTTCATACGCTTGATAGAGGATATATATAAAATTGGCATTTCTTCTCTTCAAACTTCTATTCCTAAACTAGTTTCCTACCATTTCTGTTTTAATTTAGCTGCTCACTCAAGTGCTCTACGTTTAAGAGAAGGGCAGGAAGCTCTCCCATTGCTGACATGGAGAGAGCATGCATTTGGCATTACACAGTACAGACATGCCACAGAACACTTTGGGAATGTACAATGTGAATATTCAAAAATGACAAAATGGAGGAAGAAACACAGAACAAATAGAGGAGACTTGTCCTTTTTAGGTCCATGGTTGTTTTTCTTGCTTGGAAATTTATCTCTGTCATAAATGTTTTTTAGCTATCCATCTTCAAACCATCTATAAATTGCTCTTCAGATAATAACATCCTTTGAAAAATGCTAAAATTTGACACCAAATTTATTTATTTATCTATCTGGTTAAGCAAGCAGTTCAATCCCTGTAGTTACCAACCACTCTGTTGGTCAGACTGCCTCCACATAGATATTTGTGTTCATGGTGGGTACACTGGGACCCCCAAAGTCTGCAGCCCACCCTCTGGTAAGTGAAGCCAACTTTAGTTATTTTAGTTTCAGTCTATAGTTTGTTGGTTTCTGGGTTCAGGCCACTGAATTTATTATACATTTCTTTTATTCATTTCAGAAAACTCCAAGATTGAATGCAAGGAAGGAAGCTCTTCCCTTGCTGCCAGTTCAAAATGCTAAGAACTTTATACATCATTGTATAAATAGGTTGGTGAGTTTGTAGGGTGGGCTGTGCTGCAGAGGGTGGAGTATCATCCTTTGTGCCATGGTCTCTGCAGCTCTTACCTGCTTCAATGGAATATATGAGCTCTGCATTTTCCCCCTTGTCTTTGTCCAGAGCTGTCACTTGCAGAACAACTGATCCCAAAGCAGCTGATTCAAACACTGATGCTTCATACAGTGGATTGGTAAAGTAAGGGCTGTGATCGTTTGCATCCTCCACGTTCACAATGACTCGGGCCAAGTTTCTTCGGTAAGGAAATTCCTGATCTCTGACCTTTAAGCAAAATATAAGAAGCAGTAGGACTGAAAACATGAATTGTAAAGAAACTCAATGGCTGTTTGTTGAGAAGACAAAATGAGATGTTGCATGCAAAGTGCTTGATCCAGTCTTGCACAACTACAAAGCACTAATTGAACAGGAGAGAGAGAGAGAGAGAGAGAAAGAGACAGAGATAGAGAGACAGAGACAGAGCCAGAGAGGGAGGCAGGGAGAAAGAAAGAGACAGAGAGAGATCGATATAGAGATTGTGAGCCATTTGAGAGCAAAAAAACATCATCTCTACTGTTTCACTGGATACTATGATTTAATTCCTGGGTACCACCAGTCTAGTCCTCCCATTTGGTTTCCACACTCACTTCCTCCTTGCTATGTGTTTATATCCAGTCATGGAATAGCAGATAGAGACTCATCTAAGGGGTGGGATTAGTGAATACAATATTGTTCATGCCATTTATTCATTCATTTATTTAACTAATGTTTATTGCTATTTATGATGTCAGGTTCATGGCATAAGTAAAACAGTTCAGTAACAAACTAGATAATATCTTCCTTCAAGAATATTAGTCTTCTAAATGGGTGAGACAAGCAACCCAAGAGAAAGGCATAATATAAAACAACTAAATGCCAGCATGGAATGCATTTAAAAGGGCCTTATAATGAGGAGGAGGAAGAGGAGGAGGAGCCCAATAACACTCAACTTCCTAGATGAAATACCAAGGAAAAAGTAGGAGTAACATGATGGTAATAGTGACAAGTGATATTTTTAGGCACACAGCTCAGAACTATGAGAGAAATGTGACCACTGGAAGGATTCACCCAAGGATGTACTTCTAAGATTGGGAATCTCAGAGTGATTTTGCCAAGTGAATCTGCTTAATGGCTGTAATATTCCTCTGAATTGCATGTAGCTGAAGCTTGTAAATAATCTACTCTTTATCCATGTGGTACTATTATTGTCTGATGTATTGTTAACCGAATTAGTACCCTTGGCTTGCTCAGTTTTAGAATGTGTAACTCCAGAGAGGTGTGAAGCCACTGAAACATATACAAGAAGAGCTATCAAGGAGAAAGGCATTTCATGACTAGTGCACAGAAGGAAGGAACAGGGAAGGCTTGGATAAAGGTGACCGAGAGCAGTCACGTGTTCTAAGCATCTAACTACATAAACAACAAATGACAGTGGGCAACCAAACTGATTTCTGAATTTTCTGAGGAAAAGAACAGAAATGACTTGAAAAACAATGAGAATGAGGTTAGTCACCACTGTAAGGCTTTTGTTCCTAAAACATGGTGTAACCATTGACATGTCCAGTGTGCCATGTTGGATTTCTAGAGCTTGATTGTCCACACCCAAAGATACAACCAAACTCTATTCGTGGATTTTTTTTAAATGAATTAAACATTAGCCCCAAGAGTGTGAAGACTGTCATCTCAGTGCTTGGTACACAATACATTCTTAAGAGTATCGGTGAATGGATGAATGTATGAATGGCTATACTGCTGTACCAGGTGGCCTCTGGGAACTAACCCTCTGTTTCCTGGGTTCTTAAGTGGAAACTATAGCTGTGGAGATGACCCTTAAGTTATCTCTTGTCCAAGAAGATTCCCAGTGAAGAAAAAGTTTGCTTCTGTTGTTGATGACTTGGGCATTCATAGGTTTAGGCATCCCAAACTCAGTCAGTCCACAAGACTAAATCATGGTTACCCTTCCTGTTCCTTAGGTGTACAATGGGAGCCCTGATAGGCAGAGGCTATACCTGCCAATGTTGTTCTAAGGCCCATTACAAGGACAGATTATAAGCTATAAATGAATCAATGACATATTTTACTCCTCTTCCTTATCCACTGTATGGATTAACCAATAACCTCACTTCAAAAGCAAAGATACTTCTATATAATTTGAAGGAAGGTAAGTTCATTCAGAACCATGGGTCTCTGAAGATTTAATGTATATTCAGTTCTTTTTGGGTCACCAGTGCAATATATCATAGATTGGGTCTCTGAACACTTCCAAGGACTGAGCTTCATGTGGGCTGAGCAAATTATTACTCTGTGAAAAACTAATCAAGAGAGTCTTCTAAACTTTTGACACAATCTTATGGCTCCAAACAAATCCTAGAGTTGGGAACATTGTCTGTTGCTTTCCTCTCTAAACCATCTGTCAGCAACATTTCCTGAACAGAATACATCTAGTATTTCAGGTTGACAAGAAATATGGAGTTACCATCTTAGAACAGTAACTTCTTCATTGAAATACAAAGGCAAAACTACATGAAACCTGACAGTGCAAAGGCTAGGTTTATAGAATTTATGGTCCCTGGCTTCCTGAAGTACATGCCTTGGTTGGTTGATGGTTCTGTCAGGAGAGAAAAATTATGAGTCTGGTCCTACCATTATGTTGAGGATGTGCTTGTCCTGGGCCTCATGGTCCAGCCTTTCAGCAGTGTAGAGCACGCCTGTACTGGGATCCATCCGGAACTTCCTCATGCTGATGGCATCAATGCTACTGTGGATGGTGTAGCTCAGCTTGTGCTTCTCATCTCTGTCTGTGGCTTCAATCTGCAGTATCTCTGTATCAGGAAGCACGTCCTCAGAAATGGTCACATCATAATGTGGCTGGGAGAATTCTGGGCCATTATCATTATTATCCAGCACTTTGATAAATACCTGTAGTTAAAAAGAAAACGAGCGTGATAAGGAATATCAACTCATCAGCGGGGAATGAAAGAGGTCACCTTTTTATTTTCTCCCTCTTTGTATACTTGGATCCTAGCTTCTAGCAGCAATCTCAGCATAGAGGAAGCTCTCTTTTAAAAACATTCTGCCGGTAACTGGTTGATGGCAAACCATCAGCTCACATTAGCAGCAACATCAATTATGGTTGGATCTATAATCTCATTAATAATTGAACAGCTGAGATAGCCACGAGAGGTGGTAATTCTATGGACTTATCTAGGGCATATTGTGCATGATTACAAGGTGACCTTCATTTGGAAGCTTCTAGTGCCTAAAGACCTATCTATGTGTTATTTCTTATTGTCGACAAACATGGCAACAGTGCAGGGATTAAACTTCTTTGTCAACTTGACTGGACTGGAAATCTCCTAGGAGACACACTTCTACATATGACATTGAGGATATTTCTAGAGAGTTTTATCTGATGATGGAAGGGGCACAAACCTGTGGGCTGGGTATCAGATTGAGTAAAAAGGAAAAAAGAAGGAAGCAAGCTGACCAGCCCCTCACAGTCCTGCAGCCTTGTTTGCCTGTCACTGTGCAATGTATCCTACTAAGCTACAAGGCAAAACCCACCCTGAGATAGTCATTTTGCTAGGTATTTGTTTTACAACAAATAATTAATTAATAACATAATTAATACAAAGTGGGGAAAGAGATCAAGATGAGGTCGGGTGCAGGAAGGAAGGAGTGCATGCGGGTTGGACTGTGCTCAGAGCTTCTGAGCAGCCATAATCTCACCCTGTGCTTGTCCTTTATCTGAGAGAAGACTAGCCATAAACTTGATCAGAGAGCTACAGTATGAAGCTGCCATTATGAAGCTGCCATTGTTTCCTCATAAGACACTGTGCTATGGAACTTTCTGGGCAGGACTTATGCTAATCACTCAGCTTTGATAGTGATCAGCTCATGGCTAATCATCTAGTTTCATCTTTCTTCCTAATCATCTCCATCTGCTACCCCAGATTATTTTGAAGAAAGTCACAGTTATCACATCATTTCAGTATACATTTCTAAGAGGTAGGGGCTTGTAGGATGAATAAAAGCACATGTACAAATACTTATAATAGCATTATTGTTCCTATTTCAAAAACAAAATAAATTAGCAATTCCTTAATGGTAAATGTACATTCTCTGCTAATATTTCCCCACTGTTAAATACACTGTACATATGCATATGTAAACTAATTTTATTTGTAGTACAAAAGGTTCAAGCGTTGTATTTAACACGTCCCTTCATATTTTACTTTATAGAGTCTCTCTTTATTTCTTTGTAAATCCTCATGATTTTCTCTTCCACATGCTGATTATTGTATGGAAGAGACTGATATCTTTCTGTGTAGTTGCCAGTCTGAATTTTGCTTGCAGCATTCCCGTGGCTTTTCTCTACACGATCAGTCTTCATATTTGTTATACATTGCTAGTGTGGTCTAGGAGGCACGATATGCTTCAGGTTCTAGTTCCTATTCAATTTTATTTATTCTTGCAAACATCCTTCTTGAGCAACACCATGTACTTCTGAAGATGCATTCTTCTGGTTTGCTCTCTTATACTATGATGCTTGCTGTCATTGGTGATCATTAAAGGCTAATCAATGGGAAAACTTAAAATGTTTAATGTACTGATTCTAGGATAATTCCTTTCTTTATAGCTGGAAAAGCTCCATAAAAATTTTCCCAGATCTTTGGTTACTGTTTGATTACCATGCAGAGGAAAGGCAGGGTAATTACAAACTCTTTCCCTTATTTCAAAATATGTTGATGCTTCCCTGGCTCCACTGAGAGTGGGCAATGATTAATATTTTTAAGCGTAATTATGCTCTATCAAGTTTTGGTCTGCATTTATTTTATTAGTTATGTTTCTATGTGATATGTTGTGATAAAGATCATGACAAAAACAACTCATATTACATTTTCATATCACAGTTTGTCATCAAAGGAAGTCATGGGAGGAACCCAAGGCAAGAACCTGGAGGTAGAAATGGAAGCAGAGGCCATGGAGGGACACTTAACCAGCTTGCTTTCTTATACAACTCAGGACCATAGGCCCCGTGTATCACCACTCACAGTGGGTTGGGCCCTCCCACGTAATAATTAATCAAGAAAATGCTTAACAGTTGTGCCTCTAGGTCAATCTTAATGAAAGCATTTTCTTAATTGTGAGTCCCTATTTCTAAATGACTCCAGCTTTTGTAAAGTTGACACAAAACTAACCAACTCAGCCTCTCTCTCTTTTTTAAAATGTAATATTTTATTAACTCTTTGAGAATTTTATTTGGTGTATTTTGATCATGTTTACTAGTCCCCAATCCTTTTCCTGAGACTTCTCAGATCTACTTCTTACCTCCTTTCTCTTGAACTTCATGGTCCCCATTACTCTTAAAAAAATACTCAGTGTGGCTGGAGATAGGCTTAGTGGTAAAAGCACTGCTACTCTTCCAGAGGTCCTGAGTTCAATTCGCAGAAACCACATGTTCACATTGTTGGCTTACAACCATCTATAAATGTGATTTGATACCCTCTTCTGGCAGGTAGGTGTATATGTAGGTAGAATACTTATATACCATAAATGAATACATCTTTTTTTAAAGTAAAAAGTAAATGAAAACAACTCAGTGTGTTCAATTTGTGCTTCACATACTCACAGGTGCATTGAAGCATGGTTAGCTACCACTGGCCACACCCTTAAGTAAACTGATTCTTCCTCCCCCATTATATCAGCTGAGATAAGATCTTATGTCTCTTTCTCTTTTCTGTGCTGGGATGTGGACTGGCTTGATCTTGTGTGGGTCACGTGGAGGTCAACAAAGCTCCTTTGAGTATTTGGGTGCAACTGTCCTGTCATGTACAAAAGATACTGTTTTGTTCTTGTCCTCCCCAACTCCTGGCTCTTCTCACTGTTCAGCCTCCACCTTTGTGATGTTTGCTGAGCATTGGCCAGGGGAGGGGTGATATAGGTGTCATTTATGGCCAAGCATTACATTGACGCTTAGCACAATGATAATGGTAGCATTTTTAACATAATGAGAACTCATTCTTTGGTTCCCTAGCTAGTTCTATCATATTTGACTCTTCTGTCCATTCATTGCAATACTCATGTTTACTGCAATGAGAAGTCTTGTCTTAGCCAGTACAATTGTGTTTAGGTTGGAGCTTGAGGTTTGTTTCTTTTTGACACTGTCCTGCTGTTCTTAAATTTGCCCCTTTCTTCTTTTCTCACTTCCCTTCTCTCTTCTTTAATTGATTAATTGATTGGTTTTGATATGCTAAGGCCAGGACCTAGGGTCTTATTGTACTTTACTGTTAAAAAGGTAAAGCACTTTGGTGTTGAACTACATTCCTTGACAGCTCCCTTACTTTCTGATTATTGTGACTGGTAATAGTTTTTAGGGTGTCTTGAACATTTTCTATTCTTGCATTATCCACTGCTCCAAAAAACCACTTTGGTTTCTCCTTTCCTTTCTTTTGTTAGAAATGCTATTTTGAGATTGCAATCTAGTACTGGGAATTCTTTTAGTGGATTGACTTAAATTTTGCTTTTATCAACTGGAAAAAATTAGGAGAGAACTAAAAAAAATAATCAAAATTTCATGAGTTCCCAGATGTTTCCAATTTTAGTGATTTTTTTTTTACTTAGTGTCATTGTTTCTGCATTTGTTTCCCCCCGTCTGATGCTGACTTTTTTTATAATCAGTGACAAGATCATAATTAGTCATTGTTTTGTTTGAAATATGAATGCAAAGGACTCAGAATAATAAAGCCTGCATTTCTATTATAGTTATCCAAGACAAGTTGATACTGTTTTTCAGTGCTCTTATTCCTGAGATGAAGCTCCATGGAGGAACCCAGAGTTGGATTAGATGATTAACATCCATTGCCATATTTCTTCAGAAGTAGATTCATATATAATGTGCTTCCATTTATTTCCAAAGTTTAGAAGGTTTTTTTTTCTAGGATTGAGAATGATTTATTACCTGAACCAATAAGGATAGTTCAGGCCTTACTTTGAAGCAGTTCCTTTTTGAACCAAGGAGCCTGGGGACTTTATTATGGAACCTAGCCATGTTCACAGAAGACAGTACCAGGGACAGGCAGATTTCTCATGATGCCTAATGAGTTCATCTCTGAGTATGTGTCCAGTTTAAGTCGTTGTTAAAGAAGAAAATATGTCAGCTCTGTTTGGGTACATGCTTAACTCACATACTTGCTTTTTCAACATTTAATTTCTTGTTTTGTCATTGTAATCATTTAAATCAGACCAAAAGGGTGTTCAGGGAGGTTTAATTTCTCAGTGAGTCATAAGAAAAAGGATGTAAGGGGAGAATTGCTGGAAAAGAGGGATGGGAGAAGAAGACGAGGGAGTGGGGTGAATATGGTCAGGATACATTGTATAATTATTAGACTGTTGAAGAAAAAAATGAAAGAATTTAAAGAAGCTTGGCTTCCCTGCTCTCCCCTTCTCTTTTGTAGATAACTTTTATTAAAAGCACATGGTTTCTCAGCTGTTTTGTCAATATAGTGATACAATATACATTTCCCATGTGACACTAGTTCACTTCTTATTAAATTAGGAATTACAAAGGGCATAAAATGTATATTATTCCCAACTGGCATAAGAGTCACTGTCAGAAGCATCTGGAGACAGTGTTAGTTGTCACAACTCAAAGAAGGGTGCAGGTGATATCTAGTGGATGTAGGGCAGAGCTGCTAGCTGCTCAAAGGTGATGTCCATGTGCCCCTTCCCCGCAGTGTCGGGGACCTTGCCCCATATTCTGGTCAGTTCAGGTCATTCTGGGCTCAATAAGACTTTTCTATTATTTACATAGAGTATGTAAAAAAAGGAAATGTGCTTATGTCTTTTAATTTCTCTGGCATACAGTTGGGTTCTGGCATTAGGACAGTTTGATGGAAGGATAAATGTTTCTATAGTTT